ATGTTTCACAGCGAAGACCACAATAACTTTCCATCTGGAGTGTAATTATTTATTGACCTTTTCCCCATGTGAGTGACCTCACACTTTGATATGACTGAAAAATAAATAATTACATGCTTGCTATTTGGTGGGCCTACGCAATGAGGATAATTATACTGTACGGTAATGAACAATAGTGTAATATTTTCTCCTAGATCACTTTCTTTCTGTTATGTAAGCTTATAATAACTATATTGCATGACACCAAAGTCACATTGCTGAAGTTGAACACCATCACTGATTAAAAATGTAAATTTCATTTTTTAGTCTTAGGCCCCTACCTTGGCGGCCTATTTGATTCTTTTTGCGTAGGCGGTTAGGCGCACCAGTTTACACTCTGTGCCTTTTTGGAATGAAGTCAATAAATATAAATAAAATATAAGTGAATAAGAATGAACATAATACTTTCATGTAGTATAATTCAAAGTATAATTGCTTTAACTACTGTGACAATAAGCACTGCACGGAATGGTATTGGTTTTGAATTTGAAAGACCTAAGATAAATAAATACACTGATTCTTGTTTGAAGAAATACCGTAAACATTCTTGCAACAAAAAAATAAATTAAATTTACATTTAAAAAATCTACGTCAAGTACATAGTAAAATCATTTAGTAAGAAACGAAAGTAAAAAATGTGTGCTATTAATTGCATGTTGTTCACAATATTTGTTTCTTCTCCTGAGCTGGAAGAACCTATAGTATGTGTATAGCGTAGATGTAACAAAATTAATCTCTTTGTAAATTAGGATTCCTTCAAAAACATTTTTTAGTTACTTGTTTCAGTTATTATATGGTATTGTCATGAATTGAAACTTGTTTCTTGATTATCATCATCAGCAGCAGTACACTGTAAAATTAAATTTGTACTATCCCTCACTAAATGATAAGTATTAGTGAGTCTGTATCTTATTGTGACGTGTCATAATGGTCATTTTATGAGAAATAATATTGAGGCTAAAATAATGAGCAATATAACACAGTGTACAAAAATATGCATCACAAAACAAGCAGTCCTAAATAGTTACGGTATATCAATTCATTCGATGAATTGTAATCATTGAACTTGAACGCATCATCAATTATAAATATTATAAATTACTGTTACAAATAATAGAGAAATATTTTATTTCATATACAGTTTTCGTACGATTCGAAAGAAAAAAAACAGTTTATTAATGAAGTCATCAAGCAATACGAGCACTTGGTTTGAATACAATACTAAAAGCTAATTGAAGAAAACAGTTTGGTTAATTGCAAAGTTAGGAGTTTTATCACGAAAACACATATCCCTCGCTTACACATATAATATAAAAATGAGTTACTAAGGAAGAATAAAAAATAAAATATCAGTCATCTCTTATACTGTATAAATTGTAAGCTTTTAGAAATTAATACTTTCTATGCCACACGCCCACTTAAAGAAATGATTAAATACCCATATTCGATGTAATTGAATAAAGTTAATGTGTCATAAATATAATATTTGTCCTTTCGAACATGATTGTATGGTTAATGTAGTATTGTTATGCTAATGAACCTAAGTAATCAGATTGAGCTAGGTCTGCACATGCTCAGAAGTTTGACTGAGGTCAATCAGGGTGATAATAACTGGGTACAGCGGAAAGACAGTCAAAATAGGCGCAATGCACAGTTTTCTTTGATTATACTTATAACCCAAATAATCTGTTATATCTGTGCCAAAAAATACGAATCAAAACAAAATATCGAGTATCCCGATTCCCTATGCATTCGTACTTTACGATGCTTTTCCTACTGGTACTGGTACTGCATGGTACGAGCATTTATATTGCACCTTTTCCTTTCGGTTATAAAGCGCACGCCAAATCTTCAAGCTCAGGGAAAAACTCAAGGCAGAATTTAATACAGATCCATTAAACAGAATTCACAAGCGTCACTGACCTCAGCGTTTCAGCAAGGTCAGTGTAAACACCAATTGGGCATTTGGCAATTTGTATCATATTTATGGTTTTTAGTTGGATCTCCGTAGCATGTACCATTTAAATGCTACGCATAATTTCATGAAAGCTTAGCATGTAGCATAATTTAGAATTGATGAAACTTTTGTTACATTTAGAAAAATATATTGCAAAGAAAGTCTAGAGGTGTAGGGCCTATATTTTTTAAAATGTTCTCACCTCACCTAAACAGGTAATTAGGTAAGGGGACGTGGCAGCGAACGTATTTAATTTTTGTTTCGTAGACACCCAAAACTAACCTCTGAGGCGTTTTGGGCGATCAATTGTTCTTATTTTCTTTTTTTTCTCTCTTCCTTCCTCTCCTTTTTTAAGGGAGGGGGCGGGGCGTAGCATTCTGTAGCATAGTTTTACTTCAGCCATAGGCATGATTTCATCTACTCTAGATGCCTGAAAATGGGACTCCTAGACTCCCCTGCTCCACCATGGTTAGGGCCGATGATACAGTTGCTCGATCGTATATTTGTTTATAATTGTTGTGTTTAAACGGTTTTCTTGTTACTTGTATAGCACCTTTCTTTTCAGTTACGAAGCGCTGTAAGCGACTCTCGACAATAAGTCAAAAACTTGCATAGAACCAAACCCATGCACAGTGAGCTAACTTAACTAATGCAATAAAGCAGTAGAAAAACAAGAAAACAAACAAAACAATAAACAAATATACGATCGAGCAACTGTATCATCGGCCCTATGGTGGAGGGGAGTCTAGGAGTCCAATTTTCAGGCGAGTCGTTTGGCCGAGCGGCTAAGACAGGGGAACCATGACATACAGCCATAATATCGGCGTTGGTTCGAACGGCACGCTCGCCTATGGTTCCGGTGGTGGAACAAGTCTTCTCGGATAAGGACTCTAAACCGTAGGCCCAGTGTACGCAGTTGGCTCGTGTGCACTTTAAAGAACCCAGTACATCATTCGAGAAGAATAGGGGGTTACCACGGTGTGCTGGTCCATTTCCAGTCCCCTGTCCGGCCACAGAAGGAGCGTAGAAGCGGTTGGCGCATCGGTTGTGGCTTGGACTCTAATCCTCGAGGTCGGGGGTTCGAAGCTCTCGCTGTGCAGATCGCTTGTGTCCTTGGGCAAGGCACTTTATCCACGGTTGCTTCTCTCCACCCAGGAGTACAAGTGGGTACCTGGTAGGTTCGAACGCAACTGCGCTGATTACTAGCTGCAATATTATGGAATTATCCCCTGGGAACTGAGTATGTGTTCCATATGTGTTTGATCCAATGACCGGGGTAGTAATGTGAAGCGCTTAGAGGCATTGTGCATGAAGCGCTATATTTCTATTTTATACCTCCATGATAAGAGCGACATATTATTATTATTATTATTATTATTATTATTATTATTATTATTATTTACGTCGCGGCCCATGTCAGGTATCCATACTACTTGCGAATCCTTCTACCACACTACGTAAGCTAGATCATACACACTATAGCTACTTTCGATAAGAAGTCAAGGAAAACTATAATGAACAATGAAATGAGGATTATACTCATCATGATAAAGATGGATTCGATGATGATGATAATTAGTGTGTTGATGACGTAATAACAATAGTGGCGTAACTTTGTGTATCTGACATTTGGGAGCGGTCTCGGGGTTCGGTCTCGAATTAGAAATCTCCAAATAAAGACCACGGGCCAGAGGTGGTCTCCAAGCAGCATAACTAGAGGGTAGCCCAATTTGAGACCTCTAAATGAAGACCGAAGCTAAAAGTGGTCTCCAAAAGACAATATGGGGCAACCCTTTATTTGTTTCAAAGAAACTTTTGTTTGCTTTTTAATTTTTCTTCCTACCTAAGACTGTTTAAAACACATTGAAAAAAAAATCTGAACAACATACCTAAAGTACAAGTAAACATAACACTACAACTTTATTTGACTTTAGGTTTAGGTATGTAGTGTCCATCCTTTTATGTTACTTAGCCCAATATTTTACTCTTTAGTTGCAACAAAAGGGGAGAGGCAGATGGGAATGAACCGGGTACCAAAGGTTAATAATGGATCTCCATGATCCTGTACACACACAGTCGCTGCCAAAAGTTCACATTGTACAAATTCTACAAAAAAATGTATTAAATCCTGGAATCGCAGCGAGTGAGTTGTTACCCTCATTGTACAGTGTAATCTCACGCAACAAATTCAATTTACTAATTATTTAATTAACAGCCAGTTAGATAAGCAATGTCCCAGAAATCAGTGTTATTGGTTAATCTTCTATGTATTGCAACACTATGGTTACATACAGCGTGTCTATGGTAGTCTATATAGTATGTACATACATTATCATTCATCAAAAGTAAGGTACACGTAGGCATAATGCTTTGTAAAGGCAGAATAGTACATCAAGCGTGGTGCTACAATGATTAATAAGGAGCAAAAAAATCAAACTATACCTATTTCTTTTTTTTTTATTCTACAGTGCATATCTTCTTAAAACAAGTGTCAAAATGCTCGGGAAAATAAATTGTTTCATCTAAAAACTGTACAATTGGTATTTTAAATATCATGCTTTTATAGCACAACTATTAAGAAACCTTTATTTATATGGATAAACTTATGAAAATACATCTGTTACTGTTGAAGTTCAATTTTTTTAAATTACAGAGTATTTAATTTTCAAGAACCTTGAATGTGTTTGATGTATTTTCATTTTAGCCTGATTATTAGAACCAATATTTGATCTGACATTTTCTAATGTAAATTTGTTAGTCGAATATTGGAAATATGTTGTTGCGATCGTCGTCAATTAGTGTTTATAAATGAAACTCAAGATTAGCGGTAAAAAGTGAGTAATTAAGAGGTCTAGGATTCCTAATGATAGGAAGTGATTAACATTAAACTAAAATAGGCCTACATAAAACTGTGTGAGTGAAAGAGGCTTGACTGTTAGCAAACAACATTTTACGTTTTAATTTTAGACGGTATAGGCTGCCAGGACCAGGGTAGGGGGTTTGGGGTGAGCGCCCACTTTCCTCAGTGCTGAACCTGCAAAACAATAACGCAAAAAGGCAACCCTTAAACTCCGTTGAACATTTTATAAAAAATACAAAATATCGCACACAAAATGATTTCTTATTGTTAAATAATATATCTTTTTTTTTGTTTTGCATTCCTTGTGGTTGATGGTGTTTCGGACGCTATAAATTCTTAATTTTAGTGTTTATGCTGTAATTAATCTTTTAATTAGTTCTTTTTAATCTATCGTTGGCTTCGATTTGTGATTTGGTGTACAGCCTACCTTTTTCTACTTTTCTACTATTTCAAACCTTTTCCTATTAGATACTTTTCAAATTTGTTTTTAAAACATCTCAATAATTAGTTGTCATTTATTGTATATATTCTAATCAGCCTATTTAGCTTTGATTGTGTTGAAGGCATGTGTGGAAAGCAAAAAGCAATGCTTACAATAAATCAGACTTTACATCCTTGTAAAACATCAGAGTAAAATTCGAAGTTAGAACTACGCACACTTTTATCCAAAATCATTTGACATCAATCGAACATAAACATTACGTTGTGTGTATGATGTTTGTGTCGATTGACTTCTATACGAGCATGCGCAGTTTTAACTGTGGATTGGCTTATTAAAGCACCAGTGAAAAATCATGAAGTTTTCGTAAATGACATCAGCATTGAGCAAGATTTATTTGCAGTAGATATTTTCCTTGTGTCACCATCATCATCAGCGTAAGAAATTCCTCTTGTACGCATATTTGTCATTGCTTGATACTGATGTTCTGCAACTGAAGTCTTGTCAGTTCTGAACTTTTCTTTTTCTAAATCAATGAGACAAAACACTCTTTTATTATTTTTTTTTACATTTTACCGTACCGATATATTTGTCATTTAGTATATCGCATTCTTCAAAAAAAAAAAAAAAAGAAAAGATAAATAAATAAAAATAAAAAAGTGGTACAGCTAATTCGTGAATTTAGATAGATCCCGTTTCAAAATGTTTTAAAATTCACCACCTGCAAATAAAACAACATGTACCCATTCGGCGTGTGGGTCTACTGCTTGATTGGCTAGTTTATGTGGAGATTCGGCTATCTTAAAATTCTTATTAAAACTCTGGTTTATATGCTTGGTTAAAGGGTAGGTTAATAATAACAGCATTTTCTGTATATTGGTAATAATTTTATTAATGAAGCTTACAATTATAAATATTTAAGAATGTTTATATCAAGATGCCTGTTACATAAATAAAACAATTATGAAGAGGGGAAATAGAGTAATATAGTATACAAAATATATTATTAATGGACACGAACAGTGAAAAAGGGAAATAAAGTAATATTGTATACAAAATCTATTATTAATGGACAGGAAGATTTTAACAGAATATATTACGGGGACGTTGCTTGGAAAGCGATCGGAACACCAAATATAAATTATGCAATTAGCATATGGTTTTGCGATAACAAAGCATCTATTGAATAAATTTAAAATTTACAGTATTAAATGGCAAGATACCTATTAAAAGCAGCCAGATATGTCGCAAAGGAAGCCTTATGGTGAATTTAGCTGGTAAACAATTGAATCTATTCAATCATAAAGATTATTAATTTACTTTTATAGACTAACAAGTATGGAGGAGCACCAATGGCCAAGATTATTATTTATATACATACATACATATAAAATATCTAAGAATGAACATAATACTTACATGTATGTAGCGATATATTAGATATGTTGCAACAGAGCCAAGTATGATTGCTTTAGCTACTGTTGCAATAAGCACTGCCTGGGTTAATATTGGTTGTGAATTTGAAAGACCTAAGACAGAAAGTCAACTAATGATGCTATATAAATATTCTTGCAACAAAAAATTTACTTAAAAATATCTAATTGAATTAAAAAGTAAAATCATTTATTAAGAAATATTAAAAACTATAACTTATTTTACTATTTTACTTATTTCATTTTCAAATTTTCATCACAATAAACATAATAAAACAAACGAAAACAGGCGTATCTATATAAAAAATATCTAGAAGAACACTAAAAAAGAACAAAACAAAAAAAGTTTTAACCGATCTACCATTAAGTAGTTCGTCTTACAACAAAACCACATAAAATATAACACATATTGCCTACACAAGTAAAATGTGTTGGTTTTACTATGTTGTTCGCAATTTTAATTCCTCATTCTGAACTGTAAGCACCTATGGCAAGTATACGATTGCAGGTTTCTGTACTCAGTATGTAACAAAATTAATGTCTTTGTAAATTAGGCTTTTTTCAATAACATGTATTAATTACTGTTTCAGTTACTTTATATTTCCTTGCCATGAATTTAAACCAGTGTCATGATTATCAACATCGTCAGAACCATATTTAAATCGGTAAGTTTAATTCAAATGTCAAATCAAGTTGAATGAATATTTGTTATGCCGAATATTATGTTAATGATAATGCTGGTGATAATTTGTACATGGTTAGGAGTTATTTAAGTTACTTTTTACTCTGTTCAGAATTATGTCATCTTCTACAGCATACAATGAATTTAGCAAAAAATAGTCTTGTAAAAACAAACTTAATTCGACACCACTAAATTTGCATTATCCATGATAAGTGTTACGAGTTTGCATCTTTATTGTGACGTTGCCATAATGGTCATTTTTATAGAGAAATAATATTGAGGCTAAAATAATGAACAATAAAATAAAGTGTACACAAATATTCTTGGCATCACAAAACAAGTAGTTCTATTATATTATTTTTATTGTGCTGTGCTATATTTTGTATTAAAATAAACACTGTAAATATTTGAATTGAAATTCAGTACTATGTGACTCAAACACAAGACAAATCAACATTTTCCATTTCAAAAAAAATAAAAAAATATCGATATTCTAATGTGGTTAACTTACCTGTGTTACATTTCCCCATTGGTTCAGTTACATTCATTTTACCATTTTCTGCATAACAGGTGATGTTCGATTGACAAATATCTTCATTAATTTTCACAGATGCTCTGTGTTTTCCTATCTTCATTATTGTTCGATCTTTGTAAATTTTTACAGAAGATGGCTTTGGATGACCTTTTGCAATGCACGTTGCAATACCATTATCTGATCCAAACACAAGACTAAGATCTATTTTATTGACTGAAAGAAATATTAAAACTTTGGTTAATTACAAAATCAAATTGTAAATACCAAATATACTATCACATCATAAATATTTTATATCATAAATTAATTAATATAAATAAATTATTTATTTTATATACAAACAAATTTACAGTTTATTAATGACGTCTAGTTGGTTACACGCGCGCAAAGAAACGCACAGATCAATAATAAACCTTATAGAATTTAGATTACCTGTGTTACATTTCTCCAATGGTTCTGTCGCATTAGCTTTACCATTCTCGCCATAGCATGTGATGCCAGATTGACAAATGCTTCCATTAATTTTCACAGATGCTTTAAGTTCTCCGGTATGCATTATTTTTCCATGTTTGTAAATTCTTACTAAATATGGTTTAGGATGACCCTTTGCAGTGCACGTTGCAATACCAGCTTTTGTCATAAACACAAGACTAAAATCTAATTGAAGAAAGTAGGTTGGTTAATCAAAAATTTATAGGTATTATCACTAGAACGCACACCCCTTTTTATGTTGCTTACTACACATATCATATAATAATAGATCCAAACGATCGACAGGATATATTAAACAATACAAAGTCAAAAGCAATAAACCAAGATTTAATAAACATCTTTCTGCTGTATCACACAGTGACCTTCAGTAAGTAAAATAAAGAAACTAAAAACTTGACAGAAACGCCACGTCAGCTTATATAGTGTCAGTAGTACACGTATGCTTAGTGATACAGATGTTGGACTCATGGTTATTCATAAATACGCCACGTCAGCATATATTGTTCCGATTGATGTACGTATACTTAGTGAGGCAGGTGCATTAAGGGTAATAATTATTCAAAATTTTGTGGACTCTTCTATTATAGACAAAGGGTGATATTATAATGCTGAACCTGTTTTTTGCAGTGAGGGATCATTCCATTTAATGTGTAGGGCCTCTTTAATTTTTAGTTGATAACTACTGTTGGCCTGATCTAATATTTTGAAGCAATCTTCGTTGCTATTGGAATTGCAATATGTGTTCTTTTTTAAATGTTTGTATATGTGTAAGGTCTTGTTGTATACCAAGTGTTCCCTGATTCTAATACAACAAATGGCGAGTAGTTTCGCCAATGTAGGTGGCATTACAGCCCCCACAGCTAAATTTGTATATTGTATTAGATCTAAGGTCGCTGGGATATTTGGTCCCTCTTGTTAAAAAAAGTTCCTATTTTTCAGAGCTAAAAATGTGTATGTTTATATCTTTGCAGTATTTGGCTGTTAATCGAGATATTTTAATGTTAGTTATCTTGGAGATGGGCCTTATAAATGGCAATTAGCAGAGAGAAAATACGTACAGTATTCAATTATTATTTTCAGGTGAAACTGGACACTGGTTTTGCCATATTTTCCTTTAAATTGATCACTTTCAGCTTTACACGAATAGTTGCCACTATAATCTGCAGTTGCAGCTTCAATGTGTATTTCAAGTGCATCTTCACTTGTAGTAAATCTAGTGACGGCTGTGGTGTTGCGTGCTTGTCCATCTTTATACCATGTGATAGCATTCGGGACCGGGTCACCATCTGGTATACTACAGTTCAAGGTCACTGACCGACCTTCATATGCAATACTTGGTGAAACAGTGACGACAGGTTGATCTAGGTCTAAAAAATAATTCATATTTGGTTTATTCAAGCGAAAAGACACATTTGGTAAACTCATATTTACAAAACCTAAACTAATGCGTAATAGATTCAGTCTGCCATACTTACAATACACAGTAAAATTTGGAAATAAAATACTCGTTGAAGCAGTGACGACAGGTTGATCTAAGTCTAGACAATAAATAATTTATAGTTGGTTTATTTAAAGGAAAAGTAAAATTTGGAAAAAAAAACATATGCGATTCAGTCTGCCATAGGCCTACTTACAATATACAGTGAGAATGGCAGCATCCCTTGAGATTATAAAAGCTCCGTCTGATTTCTGGATATGACATCTAAATCTTCTTCCAGAATCATTTCTTCTTGGTTTTGAAATAACAAGGTCAGCGTTCCCAGGTGTTTGTCTTAAGCTGTATCGTCCATTGACTGTAGTTCTATCATTTACAATACCACGTATAACAGGGACCAAATCTTCACTTACTTCATCCCATCTGATGACTTTTAGCGCAGAATTAACCTGTGAGTAGTCACATGACATTACTACTTCATCTTCTCCTTCTTTAGCCACCTGGTCAGAAGTTGACACCGATTGACCATATGCCTCTAAAAAAGATACGTATTTAAAGCCTTATAATAATGACTTATAAAATCCAATAGCATGACAAAGACGCAGTTGTTTATGTTATATATTGATAACTTGGTTACAGCGATTACTTAAATCTATATAATGATTTACATTGTGTTCGACAAAATCAAGCTGGCACAACTCACCATTAATTGCACACTTCATCAGAAACATCAAATGCAAACACTGAAATAGATATTTAATATAAGGAAAGGAGTTATTATTTTTGTCCGTGAGTTATTTTCATTATTCTATAATTCATTCATTTAAGTTTTATTTCAGAATTTTATTTAATTTCTTTTCTGTTTGTTTATTTTGGTATATCAAACATTCACATTTATAGTTTACATTCATAAACATTATATAAGATATCCCCTGACCCATTATTACATTCCAGATCTGACCAACAACACGATAATATACTGCAATGCAATCCTAAATTTATGATTGTATAAAACAATATCTACTGTATTCACTCCAAGTAATAAGAAACGTAAGCTGTAATGGACAATATTAGTATATGAATACTTTCTTAGTCTATTTCCTGCTTGCGTACTAACAAGAGTTTTGACGAATAAGAACTGTAATTGACTTGACCTGATATTCAACACGTTTTAAATGGTATTAGAGTATTATAATCATGTTCTAAAAAGGTACACTCTATTTTTCAAACACAATGGCTATAGGAATATCGATCTCATTCATTTTATTTCATATAGTCTTAATCGTACATTTACTTTTAATTTGAATTAACGGCATAATTTTCCAATACTCAACCTTATTCTAATAGACTTGAACTAAAAATGAGTGCGCTATCGGCCGCAGGACGTGTGTTGATTGTTGCTGTCCAAAGATTACTTTAAATTACTGTAGATAATTCCAGTGTATCATTGAATACAATTAGTGATTATTGTTGTACTTACCTGGTATTGGATGTTTTGATAAATGTTGAGTCCTTTGAATTTTGGTTTATGAAATTGGAGAATATTGGCCTACGTCTAGGCTCGCAACGTAAGCTGCACATCTGCGAATATAGCTGGTTTTGGTACGGTGAACGATGACGTCATTACGGTACTCAGTAATGAAATTATTTAAAATTAGGCATAGAGCGCATCGAACAAGGATTATAGATGAGCTATGAGTACTATGAAAAATCTGGGTATTGCAAGCTCACAAAACGTAATTGCAGAGCAGGGATTACAAAGCAGCGATCTATACTTGTACGTATATTTGTAAAGCAAACCATCTTCGAACGCACTTACACAAAAAGAAATAGCAGAAATCTCATTTGCAAACAAACAAACAAAACAAACAAACAAACAAGCAAAACAAGCAGTACCAAACAGTAGATCGTTAACGACAACAACAGCAGCTGAGTTCTGAAGTGAACTGTCAAAACGCTATTAGTGTAATCATCTCCAACAGAACTATATCAATGTCAAATGAAGCTGTTGATAGGCCAAGAAAGATCATTGATGTGACTATACCAAAACGAAACCTATTGATGATGAACAAGTCGGTTGACGTATGTCTGAAAAATTAGATGTGTTGGCCACCACCGAAGCATGGCTAAATTGTGATGCGCGGAAGACCATGTATTAGCTGGCATCACCTATACCCTTCCAGACTTTAGCATCAAGACTCTATCTCGTAATAGCAAAACTGGTGGTGGAATATGTGTTATATATCGTAAAGTGTATAATACTGAGAAGAAACCCTACAAATTTACTTCTTTTAATGTCTGCAAATATCATTCACTTCTGGATGCCAAGCACCTCTAAAACTTATCACTGTTTATCGCCCTCCCCCGAGTTCCTGAGTAAGGTGTCTATATGGAACAGTCTTCCTTCGGATCATGCCGCTATTCAGTTCAGTGTTACTCTTACCCGACCCTCCAACGTCACAACGCACAATGAGTTTCAGAAAACTGAAATCTGAAATCTGAAATTCCAGAATGATATACTCACATCGTATCATTCCACCCGTACGAGAGCTTAGCTGTCCCTGTGGTCTGACGTAGTATGCTTGTTCTTCCACAAGAGAACTGGACTTGTATTTTACCTCTTCTCAAGCGATCATACCTGGATTCCGAACTAGTGAAAAACTACCACCTTATTTTCAACTTAACCTTTCTTGGAAAAGTGATTAAGTGATGTGCAATGCAACAATTATATGTCACTTACCTTTCCCACAACGACTTGTTTGCCAGTTCCCAATCGTATATCGAAAACATCACAGCACGGAGAAAGCTTTAATTCGTGTCTACGACGACTTACTACGAACGTTGGACAAAAAAAGACGAAGCCGTTCTCGTGCTTCTGGACTTAACGGCAGCCTTGAACACCACTGAGCATGGAATTTTGCTTGATCGCTAAGAACAGGTATGGGGTTATACTACGTCACTTTAATTTGCTTTCAGTTGAACAAAGATTTCGATATTTTCCTATGTTTGTAAATGTTTATTTTGTTATTGTTCAGTTATAATATTACAATCAACACACGTCACGCAGATTGGTTCACTCTTTTTCTTGATTCAGATGTTTTTATAATAGGCCTACCGCGTTTATAATATTTTTCCTTTCTGAAATTCGGGACATTATGCAAATTAATTTAAATTTGTTTCTTAATCATTTCAAATCTTATTTACGAAGTCTGTCTCCCGACTTTCAATAAGTAGGCCTATATTCATTCTGTAAATTTTATGCTGGTGTTATAAATTAACATTTTTAAAGTGTATTTTTATAGAATTTTGAATTTATTTATATATTCTAACTCCTGTTTCTTGTTTGAAGCGGTGTTCTGAAAGACCCGTCTCAGCACCGTTTTCAATTGTAATTTTTGTTCGGTTTATGCTTGTTTTATGAAAGAAAATAAATGAAATGAAATGAAACAGTGAAATTCTGCTAGTATTTCACCGGGTTATTGTAACAAACCACACAGCACAATGAGGATCGAGCGAGATCACAACAAATAATACAATCGGAAGTAGAAGGAAATGGATTCAACTTGACGAAACAGGCATAACGTCTGCGAGTTTATTCAACAAAAATTCGGTTTCCGGTCGATTCGTGGTCAATCTGTGTAACAAACTGTACAGATATTCAAAACGTTGGTTTTCTGTCAAGCGTTTTGCTATTACCGGTACCTTTCATTGACGTACGTCAATT